TTTTTAAATTTATTTTTTTATTTGTTTTTATTCTTTTTTTTTTATTGATGGCAAGCGGTAAACCGAAAATAATTAGGTTTATATTCAGCTATTTACTATATAGCGATAGCATAAATATATACAGAGCAAACTTTTTAAAAATTTTTTTTTATTTTTTTTTAAATTTATTATACCCGTTACTCGTAGAGTAAAAGGGTATACTAGATTCGTGCAAAAGTATGTAACAGCTAGAAGGAAGCGTTTCCGACCCCATAAAGTATATATATTCTTGATCAGGGTCACTAGCCGAGTCGATCTAGCCATGTCCGTCTGTCCGTCTGTCCGTCTGTCTGTCTGTCCGTCTGTCCGTCTGTATGAACGCTGAGATCTCAGAAACTACAAAAGCTAGAAGGTTGAGATTTCCCCCACATATTCTTTGGCTTCCTACGCAGCGCAAGTTTATTTTAGCCGAGCGCCACGCCCCCTCTAACGCCCACAATCGCCTACTAACGATTTTAAAATGGGTCCTGCGCCCACATCTTTAAAGATTTCCGAAAAGTATAAATGCAATTTTGTTGTGTATATTTATACCTATCGAAATGTAAAAGACATTTTTCAAATCGGACCATTCATTAAAAAGTTATACGCAATCAAAAATTATATATCTATCTCCCTCGCACTCCCTTTAGCTGAGTTACGATTATTAGTCGGGACACCAACCCGACACAGCGTTCGCACTTCCTTTAGCTGAGTGACGGGTATTAGATAGTCGGGACAACAACCCGACTATAGCGTTCTCTCTTGTTTTTTTATTTGTTTTTATTCTTTTTTTTTATTGATGGCAAGCGGTAAACCGAAAATAATTAGGTTTATATTCAGCTATTTACTATATAGCGATAGCATAAATATATACATATGTATAAACGTATGTAAATAAGTAAAACGCGAATGGTCAAAATTATGCAATTAGTATTCAAATGTGGTGTCCGCTTCACCCTTTTAATGCAACGCTCGGTTTGCCACAGAAAATTTAAGTGCCACAATGGCCCAGTATGTAGGCCGTTCTATCCTCGAGAGGCAGACCCGGGTTCGATTCTCACCGACGGACAAGTAAAAATGTAAGTTTTTTTTTCATGAAGATAAAATATTAACTAATCATAATTTCTGCATTCCCAATCTTCAGTAATCCAGTGGTCAACATTTACAACCACATTTGGCTTTGGTTAGATAAGAAATCCAAGCGCAAATACATAGTAATAAATACATAGCCTTTAACATTCACAATATACAAGACACATACGCCTGCATATGTACATAGGGAGGAGTACATAATATAAACGTATTCACAGAAATAAATCTTGATTGAACATGTTTTTTTGTTTCGTTTTTAATTTCTATTTTTTAAGGAAAATTTCCTACTTTTAATAAAAATTTAGCCTAAAATTTAGTAAAATTATCCTAAATTTTAGAAAAATTTCCTCGAAAAAAACCCAAAAATATAGGAACATTTTATCCTAAAATTTAGACTAAGCTTGTCTTGAAGACAAAACAAGAGAGAACGCTGTACTCGGGTTGGTGTCCCGACTAATAACTCAGCTAAAGGGAGTGCGAGGGAGATAGATATACATTGACAATTTTGAATGCGTATAACTTTTTAATGGATGGTCCAATTTGAAAAATGTATTCTACATTTCGATAGATATAAATACACACAACAAAATTGCATTTATACTTCTCGGAAATCTTTAAGGATGTGGGTGCAGGACCCATTTTAAAATCATTAGGGGGCGATTGTGGGCGTTAGAGGGGGCGAGGCGCTCGGCTGAAATAAAATTGCGCTGCGTAGGAAGCCAAAAAATATGTGTGGAAAATCTCAACCTTCTAGCTTTTGTAGTTTCTAAGATCTCAGCGTTCATACAGACGGACAGACGGAGATGGCTAGATCGACTCGGCTAGTGACCCTGATCAAGAATATATATACTTTATGGGGTCGGAAACGCTTCCTTCTAGCTGTTACATACTTTTGCACGAATACAATATACCCTTTTACTCTACGAGTAACGGGTATAAATAGGGCGATTTCCTTGACTTCAGGGTTAATTTTATTTTGAGTGTACCTTTGAATATTTGGAAAAAGGCTTCACCTCTTATCCGCTTGAAAATCACGTCCATCACTTACGAATTTTTTTCACAACTGACGCTCGGGTGATCAGAGAAGTCGGTAGCCGCAAAGAGAATATAAACACTAAGAGGTGTAACGCCCATACAACTGAATGTACGGCAAAATTTTTGGTGTGGATTCAGAAAGTGGATTTATAATTTTCCTAGTGTGCGTTGTCCGTGTTAGATTCTTTGGTTGTGTTAGTGTGCAATTTCGTTTGCTCTGATGCGAAATAGGCGCAATCACGCATCTGTCTGACGTCTCGAAACAGGGCACTGTGGGCTAGGGGTGTAGACGCTCGACTGCGGATCGTGTCGGACCGAGTTCAACTCCGACTGAACGCAACCTTTTTTTTTTAAGTATATTTTTTTTTTTTAAACATTGTTCATTGAATATATTTTTTTAAAATTGAAAGAAAGATTAAGACCATTAATGGATTGAATGATTTCGGTGTAAATCATTTCTTTCTAGGGATTGTGTGCTTGCTTTTTTGTTTAAAAAATAAAATTATTGTTATTTTTAGTCCCTGATACTTCAATAAAAATGAAAAATTAAGTAAAATTATAAAATTAAACTCGGATGCGTATTTCAAAAACAACAAAAAATTAAAAAAACAAAGTAAAATAAATAAAAAAAAAATGAAGATAAAAATAAAACCACTTCGCCTCAGAGTGGACTCGAACCTCAACCGCATTATTCGCGGGCCACCAACTAACGCAATGCGCCACAGCCCTTTTTGAAATGTTGTGCGCAATGTGCCTTTTAGGACGATTCCTTTTCGGCAACATAATTCAGGAATCAACAAATGAGACAAAAATTGAATTTTGACTTTTTTGCAGCGCGGAGTTTTAAGAGCGAGAGAGCAAGGGAGCGAGAGAGAGAGAAGTCAAGAAACGGCATTCTAAAAATAGACTGAATACGTGTGAGTCGCATTTGTCAAAAATGACGCTGCCTCCGTAAATTTTCTTGCTTTTAGTGTTTATAATATCTTTGGTACCCGGGTAGTAGTTGGGCCGAGTAGGCCCTTCGTCCCACTTCGATTTTCTTGTCGTTAACATTCGGCAGCCGAAGGAAGTCAATGGCTACTTTTCTATATTCTAGGGTCATTTCATTCATTTATTTAAAGGTGGTTTGGTCCTTAAATACGTAGAAAATGTTTTGGCTGCGACGGCAAAACAAACATATGAAACATAAAGAAAGGTTTTCTGTATTCAAAGGCAAATTTTCTAATAACAAGAATTTTTTTTCTATTTTCAAAGGTAGGCCGATTCAATGGCGAGATTTCCAAAATTTAAAAATTAATTTTTATGAGTGTATCACGGACTTTGACAGGGACTCGAGAAACCGGCCCTAAATATATTAGAAGCTTTTTATATTACTTGTGTGCTTCCATAAAAAAGCGCGTAACTACACACAAAAAAATTTGCTTGGTAAAATTGACCAACAAAGATAGTTACGTAACTATTAAAATAGTTACGTGTATTTTGTTTTTGCTTTGGGTTTGTGTCTGCAAACTGTGTGTATTTTGTTGTGGTGGAATAACTATTTACTTAGTAGAATTGACAATTTTGCTGGTTTGGGCCTGTTTGACAATTATTACAGTTGATTTTCGGCGTGGAACAGAACTCAAAATTCATTATTTCTCTCATGCGAACAGGTAAATAACTTAATGCGTAAACTTCGTTGGTATAACAAAATGGTTTCTGAAATCAGGAAGCGCTGATGGAAAGCGATGTGATCTCGGTCGGCGGAATGGGTCCATCCTGTCGTGCCATTAAAGTTAATGCATTGAAAAATGTGATTATTTAGATTTTGTGTAATGTCGCCATAAAGTGATGTTACATCCTGAGCTTTCAAGTAAAAATCGGTTTAAAAGAGCCTAAATTACAGCTGCCATCGTGTGCTAGTCTGAATTAGTAAGCATATACATGCGTGCAAGGTGTATTTGCACAACTGGAATTCATCAGAGGTAGAGGGCACATTCTGAAATTAGACTGCGACTTTGAGAGGGCTCGAGACTTAGAGTTTCGTGCAAAACTTTTTAATCAAAACGGCAAATCGAAAATAAAAATGGCAAACTTTTCAATCTCCCAAACGTCGAAGTCTTTCGACACACTCAACTCGGAGCTGTCAACAGCCAATTTCGCCCATTTGACTGCCTCACTAGAGAAATGCTTCGTTGAGGTCCTGGCTCCGGTTCAGCCCCGCGTGAAGTGGCCTGGCAGGACTCACTTGGTATATGTACACTATAATTTCTTGTGGAAATTCTCCATTACTTTTGCAGTTCAATGTTTTACTTTTGAGCCTCCACCCATCGACCCTGGCCCGCGCTGGCACTTGTGCATGGCAAATTTACCCGGGGTTCATTTGATTTGCCAAAAACTTTGGTGGCCACAAAAGTTTGCTCCTCGGGTCTGGCGGCAGCGTTCAATGCATTTGATTTCACAAACACACTCGGCAAACTTTGTGCGCGAACTCCGGGGCAGAACCCGTGCTGGAGGGTGTGTGTGCCCAAGTGCAACATGTTCGCTGCGAAATGAACGGCGACGAGGCGCTGAATAAAATGTTGACAGAAAGTAAACTGCCGGTCTTAAGGAAAAAGTTGAAAAATAATTGGCGCGTCGTCCCGAAAAGCTGGCGACTTCGGCAAAATAGGCAGTCGATTGTGTATGTTGTGCCAACAATGGAGTCCAATTATGGCGTGTTGACGAGCAGCCTTTACAATGGCTATCGATTTGCAGGGAAGTTTGCTGATTGATTGGTTATTGCAGAGACACTGCCCACTTTTGTATAACTTACCGAAATTCCCTTTCCGAAAGCCCTTATCGCCCCAGAAATAAATGAGGACTGGATTGCACAGTTATTATTTAAATTACATTTATTTTCCATGATAATCACTTGATTTATTTGAATGCTTTCGTATTGTTAGCCATGCACTGCTGCTTTGGTATTTTCTCTTGTCCCAATTCTCTGTATTTGTGCGTGCAAGCACAATGTAGTTCTGGTTTGGATTTATTAATATGTGTACTATTATTAAATTCATATTCGTCAAATGGTTGCAAGTGAAAATTTTACAGTTATTTGCTCGAGCACTTACATTGAAAACATTTGAATCATTCTATGTTGGTTGTTCGTTTATTTTTGCTCTGTTTCCACACCAAGAGTAATATAATAACCTATTATAATGTTTCTTTGTTTTCATATGTGATTTTTATTAATTAACGAAGGGCATTTATCAGCCATTCGATATACGTATGTTAGTACAAAATATTTACAGTGGAAATGCTTAACAGTGAAAACCAACTAAATTTTTCTTTATTATTTTTATTTCAATCGAATCAAATAACCTTTAAACTGTCTAACGGCCTTTGGGCATACGCATACACATCAAGGAGGGTGTGGAATCGTTTTTGTATTTATTGCATAATTTTTCAGTATTTTTATTTTTTTAGTATTCATGATTAAGCTAGGTTTTGGGTTTTGCTGTGAGTTCTCTTTAATGAATCTATTCGAACTTTAAACGGTATCTTATAACAGTTTTTTGTAAATTACGTACCGACAATGAACGAATGGTAGGTATTGCTGGCTTAAGTCTGACGGCACATCAATTCGAATTGGAGCGGATCCCCTATATCGTATTCTATCGTAAGTGCAGCCGGCAGCCATTTGTGGAGCTAGCCTAAGATTAACAAACAGTCGAGAAGTTGTACATGATTCGTTACGTAGATGTTTGTTTCATGATTGAGGTGTTTCAGCTCGTTCGCACAGGCAGGAAACAAATACGAGAACATCAATTAACATTTTCGAAAACTATTCCCTGCCGAAGCCAGGTCAGAAATGGGAGTTTTTGGAGAACAAGATGCGCGTAGGTTTGGAGATTTAAATTGTGTTTCCATTCTAGATTTCTGCCTTTAAAGTAATTATTTTTCAATTTCTGATTTGGCAGATTGATGAATTTACATTATCCTATGTTTGACCCTACAGCTAGGTTTCGGCCTCGACCCGTTCCTTTCTCTCTTGTGTGCTTTTGCAATTAATTACAGCTTGATTCTGACAGTTTGAAAGCCCATAAAGCATCTACATACTCGTACTCGTACCTCTTCTCCGTTCTCATTTTCATTCTGCCCCCGCCAATATATTGCACATTTTCAGTCAGCTGTGCCTTGTGGTTGATGCTGTTAGAGCTACATGATTTCCTTTTTATTTACACAATTTAAATTCTTTTTTCTGCATGTAGTGTGTGTCCTTGTGTGTGCGTGCTATGCCGTTTGGTTTAAAATTTATTTACAAACTTAATAACATAATTAATTAATATGGGTTGACGTTCTTGTTCTTATTCTCGTTAACGTTAATTTCGTCCTGGTTGTTATTCCTGCCTTTTGGGCTGGACATGCCCTCTGCTCTTTTTATGTTTTTAGTTTTCAATTAGCAATTAGTAACAGTTATAATAGCGTTTTAATGCGTGTTTTTGTTCATATATATACTTCATTTAATGGACTCAAATTGGCTACTTATGCAAATTCCGCTCATATTGAAGAATTTTTCGGGTCGCAAAGCATTGGTCGAACAAAGGCATTTTAAATAAGCACTACACATATACATAACTTTGTTGACGGCAACAGAGGATTTTGTGGAAAGTTAACAGAGCCATATTAATAAACGAAACTCAAATATTTTGAAATCATTCAGCATACTGTACACAATGTATGGGAAGTGAGTTACAAACTAAACTATTACTTATCAAGACTTGACTGGATGTACGGGTAAATGCCTGGCATACGTACAAGTACACACATTCGTGTATGCACAGCAGCTGCGATTGGTTTAACTTGATTTTTACACTTGAGTGCGCCGCTTTCACTGAGCTTAGCTTAACAATTATCCTAGACTTTGGGTTTTTCAGTTATTAACTCTGTTTCGGCTTGCTCTAACACGGAAATAGCTTAAATAGGATTTCTTTGTCGTCGTTTTTCCACTCGCCACAGCTGGCCAAGTTGTCCGCTTAGGTCAGGAAGATGAGTCTGATAGAAAGGGCGGTATTTGGGACTGCACGTCGCTGGATATTAGATATGACCACTCACCTTACAACAACCGTGTTCAGCAGGAGACAGGGCGCCAGCATCGACCTAAATATGTGCGTCAGGCGATCGGCCGAGGAGGTCTTGCGACGAGAGATTGCCGCCATATTGTCGCCTGCAGGTGTCAGTAAGATAAATTTGAATTTGAATTAGAGCCAGAATTTGTTTAGTGACAGACAGGCGAATGCAATTATGTGCACCAACAACCGTGCTCTGCATTTTCACTCCCCCCGGCTGCCCTGAATTTTCCATTTTCATGTTAATAAGGTGCAGGCTGCGCGCCATTTGCATACTTTCATTTACACGTCTTATCGTTATTATCAAAAAGCGCACGATGTCTATTTAAATGCTAAACCACCAGTTTACCCTTGCAGAGGGTATTATTCTTTCATTAAGAAATTTGCAATGGAGTAAATAATTTTTATACCCGTTACTCGTAGAGTAAAAGGGTATATTGTATTCGTGCAAAAGTATGTAACAGGTAGAAGGAAGCGTTTCCGACCCCATAAAGTATATATATTCTTGATCAGGATCACTAGCCGAGTCGATCTAGCCATGTCCGTCTGTCCGTCTGTCCGTCTGTCTGTCTGTCCGTCTGTCCGTATGAACGCTGAGATCTCGGAAACTATAAAAGCTAGAAGATTGACATTTTGCATGCAGATTCTAGGAGTTCCTACGCAGCGCAAGTTTGTTTCAAAAGGGTGCCACGCCCCCTCTAACGCCCACAATCGCATATATACGATTTTAAAAATTTCAATATTTTGGAAAAGTAAAAATGCAGTTTTATTGTGTTTATCAATACCTATCGAAATGTAGAAGAAATTTTTTAAATCGGACCATTCGTTAAAAAGTTACGGCGGATCAAAGTTTTTCTCCATCTCTTTCGCACTCCCTTTAGCTGAGTAACGGGTATCTGATAGTCGGGGCACCCGACTATAGCGTTCTCTCTTGTTTTTATTTTATGTTTTCTTGATCACCAAATAATGCCGATTAAAAATAGCCATATCCTTCTGGGCAACTATTCTCTATAGCTTTCTTTATTTTCATGGCTTTTGAATTCCCTCACTCTGTGGAATAACTTTTTTAATATATTAGAATATTCGTTATATTTCGCTAAAGTCCAGTTCCTTTATTACACTAGCTTTACGGAAAATTCTGTTAAAGCTGGACTCATGGATCACAAAAAGTCAATAGAAACTGTTTTCGATAGCACACTTTTTTTTATTTTTTAATAACAATTGTTAAATTTGGTTGCATATCGCCTTATAATTTCCTTTTTATCAACCTAATCAAGGCAGTTTTTGTTTCGTTCTTAAGTCAATAACGCCAGCGCAAGCGTGACAAATATTAAAAATGTTATTTTTGAATCTTCAAAACTCTAAAAAATCCGCAAAAGGGCTTTCCAATAAATTAAGCAAGACGCGTATGGCTGAGATTAATAAAAATAAGATTTATGATAGATTTTTATAAATTTTTTTTTTTAGCTCGAGATATAAATAAAAAACGAAAGAGCAAAAAACTTTTCTTCAAAAACTCCTAAAAAAACGTATTCAAAGTTTGTTATCTTTATTTTATTTGATTAGGGGTTCAACTCCACTATTATAATTTGAAAGACATATTTTTATACCCGTTACGCGAGTAAAAGGGAAGATTTTCCGACCCCATAAAGTATATATATTTTTGATCAGGGTCACTGGCGGAGTCGATCTAGCCAAGTCCGTCTGTCCGTCCGTATGAACGCTGAGATCTCGGAAACTATAAAAGCTAGAAAGTTGGTATTAATAACACTATGCAGCATCAAAAATTTACCTCGATGGATGCTATATTTTTGGATTCGTTACGAATTCCCAATATAAACTGCGTTTTCCAAAAAGTTCCCCGACGCAAGGATTCTTAGCAAAAGGACCTCAAAGTTCGAAAAATGGTGAAATTGGCAAACTTTGCGGAGCTCTGAGAGGCAAATGGATGCATGGTTTGATTCGATGTTAATGTTTTTTAAAGATACACTCTTTATCTTTCAAACCCCATACTTAGAATAATTTTAGGTTTTTTTTTAAAGGAGAAACAAATTTTAGAAAACATAGTCAAAAAACATAAATGCATACAGCTGCGGTCAAAATAGTAGTAGTATTGCCGCCCTGTGTTTTTAAGGGTTTGATGTTGTCACTTTTTTTATCCAATTAGTCTAATAGTAAAATTATAATCAATACAATATTACCGGGAAAAGACCAATTACAACAACAAACTTTTAAATAAACAGGCGGCAACACTACTACTATTTTGACCGCAGCTGTATGTTTTTAAGTTTTTTGACTATGTTTTCTGGAATTTATTTATGCCTTAAAAAAAATCCTAAAATTATTCTAAGTATGGGGTTTGAAAGATAAAGAGTGTATCTTTTAAAAAACTTTAACATCGAATCAAATCATGCATCCATTTGCCTCTGAGAACTCCGCAAAATTGGGAAATTTCAGCATTTTTCAAACTTTGAGGTCCTTTTGCTAAGAGTCCTTGCGTCGGGGCACTTTTTGGAAAACGCAGTTTAACTTGGGAATTCGTAACGAATCCAAAAATATAGCATCCATCGAGGTAAATTTAAAAAGCACTAAAAATGCTGCACAGTGTAATGTATGCTCTTGGGCTTCCTACGCAGCGCAAGTTTCTTTCATCAAGGTGCCACGCCCTAACGGCCAAATTGTCTTAAACGTTTTTAAAATTTGTCTGGCGGCCACATCTTTTAAAGTTTTAAAAATGCAATTTTATAGTGTTTATTAACACCTATCGAAATGTATAACATATTTTTCATTAAAAAGTTATGCGCAATCAAAGTTTTATATCTCCGTCTTCTTCGCACTGCTAGCCAAGTCAATCATATAGTGGGACTACTATATACTTTCGCTTTTATATCTGTTTAGACTTTTTATATTGGTTTCTGGCCAGTTTCCCTATGTCGCTTAACCATTTATTTATCGTTTACTTTACTTTAGCGCTGATGAAAAGCATATACTTTATAGGGTCGTAAATGTCTCATTCAATGCGTTGCAACATTCTGACTGGAGTTCTAATGCGCTCTGGAAGGGTATAACAGCCTGCAGAAATTAAATTCCTTTCACTTACCTTTCGAGACAAAGACGTAGATGCTCGCCGGCTCCGTGTTGCTGGCCGAGCAGGTGTAGTTGCCAGAGTCGGTGATCTGCGGCTCCCTAATAATCAGGCGGCTCTGCGTGCGGGGTCCCGGGGTCGTCTCAATGGTTATGTCCCGCCGGGAGTCGACGTAGTTGATCAGACGATCATTCTTTTGCCAGTACACGTACTGCGGTGGTGTCGGACTCTGCGCCGAAGAGGTGACAGGTGGATCAGTGGCTTTCTTTTTGAAATCACCTCTCGACTTACCTTTTCAATAATGCAAACCAAATTGATTGTTGAGCCCATGTCGACATGCAGCTCGCCGGAGCCCAGTATGAATGCCTCCGGCACGACCACTTGAAGATTCACAAAGTGGGAAATGATGCCAGTCGGCGTCGAGACCTGTGTGTTGGTGATGGTTTTTGTGATAGTAAGTCCGGGGAAAGTGGAGAACGCCCAGCCGGAGAGTGGAAAGAGCAAGTGTGGCAATTGAGTGCGATTGGTATTCGTAATCATCTCGAATCTTAATGCTTCAGTAAACTGCGAGCAGGAATCACCCCTCCCTGCCGGCTCGGAAAAATCGTTGCGAGTGCAAGAAATGTTGCACTCATTGAAATGCAAATCAAACAATTTCAATTTGGCACGCAAAAATGAAACAAAAACGAACGGATTCTATATAAGTGGAGCGCTTCCTACACGTCTCAACTCGAAGCTCTTCTCCAAAATATCCGGCAGGCAGCGATTGCAGCTGCAGTCTCTCCGGATCCGGATCCGCTGCCGCAGTGGAGTAGGAAAATAATCATTTCGGCATATTTGCATGCAGCTCTCGTTTGCTGCTCAGCTTCATAGTCCATATTCCCCGTATTCCGGGGTCCTGAGTCCTGAGTCCTAAGTCCATAGTCCGAAGACGGGAGACCGGAGTCCGGAGGGGTCGTTGCCCGACCCACTGACTCTGAGCCCGACTGGTTTGTTCTGGCATGCGGCTTTTCATATTGAAATTGCATGCAAACAATTTTGAAATTGAAGCTACGTTTCTGAAATTGCACTCCGCTCCCCCGCCTTCCCCCATCCCATCCAAGCAGTCAAAGCAGACCGAGTGGCACTTGTGCTGCTGCACAAACAGAGTTACTGTCAAGTGTCCATTTCAGCAGTGTCTAACTTTGTTGCTTTTCGGTTAGTTGTCTTCCCTTCCCCTTTCCCGATCCCCTCTAAGCTGTTTTTCCCTGTCCCCGACCCCGGGCACGACCTTTCCCTATTTGCATTCGCATGACTTTCGGGCTTACTTGTGCATTACTTTGCCAGGCTGCAGCCCCTCGTCCTTGCTGGAGTCCGCATTTATCGGAGCTCGGTTTATCAGGACCAGTGTCCTGGCCAGATCCGTCGCAGCCTGCTGGCTGACAGTCACACGTTTTCGGCTGGCCGCACAGTCCGACTTGTCAATGTCACCGGCCCAATCCCAATTGGACTCCCCATCGGACTCAGATTCGGATCGGCATTCGCTTTTGAAGCTCCCTGGCCAACGACAGCTGACCAGGAGGCCGAGGGCCGGGGGCAGCTGCCTTAAATCGAACCTTTGCATATACTACTTCATTTGCATTTTACAATTAAATCATGCACAGGCGAACAAATCGACGTGACGTGAAATCAGCGAAAAGCAAAAGCCCGAAAACCTCAATACAACGTTCACACAAGGGGAGTGCAGGGAGGCGAAACGAGAGCATATGCAAATGCACTTTAGTTTATTTCAACTGCGTCGCATGCATAAAATATGGAGCCATCATTCCGGGCACCGCCCCCCGGTTGCCTCCCACTCCCACTCCCACTCCCACTCCCGCTTCCACTCCCAGTCCCACTCACCTGGCACTCGTACATGCCGTGATCCCGGCGCTGCACAAACTTTATCTGCAGCGTCCACATGTTGGATCCGGGCGTGTGCAGTATCGCGAAGCGCTCGTCGTTCGTGTAGAGCTGGGCGCCCGACGACAGGATGTGCCAGTCCCGGCGGCGGATCCAAGAAATTTGATTCTGTTGACGAAAGCCAATGCCGAGCGCGTTATTAACGAGCGGGCAAATTGGTAATCGAGTGTTGTACACACAGATAATTAATAGCACTGCAAGTAGGCAGTACAAACAGCTCAGAGCAGCTCATGCAATTAGTGAAACATGCGGATATTTCTCGAAAAGTAATTAAAAAATGCTCAAAAGTCCCACCGCTGCAACCACCACCGCACCACCAATGTCCGTGCATGTTGCATGCTCTGCGGGTGGTTTGGCGGGATGCTCGGTGGATTAAATTACGACATTGGCCTACAAGTGGAAAAACTATTTTTAATGTATCTAGCAGGTGCACACTCGAAGCTAAACCAGCTTTGAGCAACAAAACTAACGACACAAATATTATTATTATATTATATTATTAATATGTTTTTATTTATTTTTATCAATTTATAATGTCGGACCGTGAGCATCAAAGTCAAGGCATACACAAACTACAATTTGTGGTTGATAGATAGGGGTGAATTCAAGCATATTTCATATCAATAAAGAGCCTATATGATTAATATCTCAAACAAATAATTTATATAGTTTACAACAGTTATGTCATACAAATTAAAAATATTCTATTTTAAAATACCGAATTTTAATCAAATAATGTAAAATAAGATAAACATAAGAGCATGTCATGATTTATTAGCATTTCAACACGCGAGGGTGTTCGCAAAATCCGTCCATTTTATAAATAACCTACACATATTGCCCTGATCTAATAAAAAAATAAACATTTTTGAATAATTCGATCTTTAAAAAATTTCAAATTGATATGCACATATTGGCCTGATGATTTGACAAACTTGTTCTATGTGTTCTTCTGTATTTTCACTTGATTTCATACATTTATTATTTTAAATAGATGACAGATCTAATAGATTTCAAAGGGAGAGTACGAATAATATGAAGAAACAATTTTCATTGAATTCTTGGTATAATAATCTTTTTTGATTCAAGGGAACTAAATGTTAACAATTTAAGATGATCTAAGCATATTGGGTTAATCGCGGCCCAATTAATGATGGTTCGGGATATGAACAGCCTAATCCATTGCGTGAGGTACTTAGATGCTTGTTACCAAAACCGAATGTCAAATAATGTGTACTGAAATTGTCATCCCGCCAAACGTTTGCTTTCAACTACAAATTAAGCTCTTGCTCGGCTGTTGTTCGTGCTTGACTGCTTAACAAATTAGACTTTTGCGTGCCGCATTCTGGGAAACAAAAAGGCAAATGAAAATGCCATATAATTAGACAGGGAAACGAAATGAAAATGAAAACGAAAACGCAAATGGGAAAATAGAGCAAAAAACGCAAATACGATATGCATATAGGATTGCAGCAGCAGCTGTGCTCGCAGCAGATCCCGCCCGACTCTGTGCTCTGGGCTCGACTGGAATTCAATTTTGCAGCCACTAAACAAAGCGCTTTCCTATGCTAGGCATGCTTGTGAGGAGAACGGGGATTTGGGGTTTCGGGATTGGGATTGGGATGTGGGATGTGGGCTGTGGGATGTCATACGTAGGGTGTGCTGTGCGGAATAGTACCGGACAGGACGGGGCATTGTGTTTTGGGCAAGTTGAGGAGCAGGGCGTGCACATTGAACAGAACAGAACAGAGGAATGTCGTCGCCGTCGACGACATCGTGGTTCGACGAGGTACAATTAGAGAGACAAAAACAAACCCAATTTACACCCACTCTGTCCACGCCGGAGACCTTGCAGACCAGAAAGGCGGTGCCACCCAGCTGGACGGTTGTGTTGTGCGCCATCAGCTTTTGGAAAGGAAGAATCGGAGAAAAGAAGCAGATAGGAGCAGAGGGGGAGAGAAAAAAAACAAGACAAAAAGTTAAAAGTTCATTTTTTACGACGCAGAAGGAGGTGGGTTTCAAAAGCGAAACGCGCCAAAGTCGCACAATTAGTCAGCAAAACAGCGCCAACCCAGGATCCAGGATCCAGACCGTATAATACATCAGAGTCAGAGCTATCCGGTCAGGACTGGGACGGCGCGAAGAGGTCTGGCGTGGGTTCGGTTGTCTGGCGATTGTGGCGTGCTTGCTATTTGGATAATTAGATTCGAAGCCAGCGCGAATGAATTATAAATAAGCACTAAAGATTAATTAGTCCCAGATCTGAATCGGGCTCGTCCTCGCCCTGCTGGTAATTAGTGTTATACCGGTGAGCGCTGGCTCGATTTGTTCGGCTTCGGCCCTGCTGCATTTTCTTTTTGGCAGTGGCATTAACATATTGATGGTATGGGCGAACTCTTTGGCTGGCGAAACCGGCTATTGTCCTTGCTAAGGCTGCGGACTTGGAGCACGTAGCAGCTGCGTTTGCAGTCGATTCAATTTGAATTTGAATTCGAATAACAGTTCATTGCATTCGGACTGCCGGACGAAGAGGGCAATCTGTCAATGGGACTTACCTCACTGTCCTCGAACATTGGACTGTCGCTCGAGTCAAGACTATTATCCAATTTTGAATCGGCATTTATACCGCCGCGCATCCATAGCTTCTTCCAGTCGTTATCTGTGAGTATTGACTTTTGATCTGAAATCAAAGAAAAGAGCAACCACGAGCGTAAGACAAAGTCAATTGCATAGTGAAGTCACAAATTGTGTTAAAGTTTGGTTGCTTTCCCATCTTCTGACCCCCAAATTCGATTGATGCAATTCGAATGTAATCAGCAAAAAGTGTCTGGGGTGGTGCAGCTGGCAAATGAAAGTGATTGGCCTCGGGACTTGAGCAATCTAATCCCCACTCAGGTCAAATTACCCACATTCCCGCAAACTTCGCTAAAAAGAGCCCCTTCAAATCCTAACCTAGGAAATGGTATAATAAAGCGTTTGATTGATATTGAGGCTCAGCCAGCTATTTGGGATTATTGTCGCTACACGGTATATTGTTACATAACATTATAATACTTGCTTCCTAATTTAATCAATTTGATTATGTATCATAACCACCAGAACGATATGCCATTTATGTACATATTTAGTTTGACTTTATGCATTTAAGCCGAAGTTGTAGTAGTTTTTACAAAAAATATTTTGTTGCATACTTTTTAACACTTCTTACTACTAAAATTCCTTTCACTTTTCAATCAAGTTTTTGAACACTAAGTATAGAAGATAGGGATAGTAAGGAAACCTTTTCGACTCTTAAAATTATATCTAGTAGATTTCAGATTTAAAATGCACATTCTAGTGATGTCTGCTCAGGAGTAATTTAGAAATTATGTTTACAAAGCCTTTCATTGTCAGTGTTTGTAGAGGTAATTTTTGTTCGCGTCATTACTGTGTTAAATAGTATTTAATCTATTTAATCAGAAAGACGTACCTTACCGGAAAATAAAGTATTCCTTCATGATATATTTCATCGATTTTTATACCCGTTACTCGTAGAGTAAAAGGGTATATTGTATTCGGGTATATTGTATTCCTATAAAGTATATACATTCTTGATCAGCATCACTAGCCGAGTCGAATTAGCCATGTCCGTCTGTCCGTCCGTCTGTCCGTCCGTATGAACGCTGAGATCTTGGAAACTATAAAAGCTAGAAGATTGGCCTTTTGCATGCAGATCATTGGAGTTCCTACGCAGCGCAAGTTTATTTCAGGCGAGGACCACGCCCCCTCTAACGCCCGCTATCGCTTATAACTATTTTACAAAATTTAAATATTTCGGAAAAGTAAAAATACAGTTTTATAGTGTTTATTAATACCTATCGAAAGGTAGACCAAATTTTTTAAGTCGGACTATTTGTTAAGAAGTTGTGCGTGATCTCCATCTCACTCGCACTTCCTTTAGCTGAGTAACGGGTATCTGATAGTCGGCGCACCCGACTAAAGCGTTCTCTCTTGTTTTTTTGTAAATTGGTGTAGTTTACTCAACTATACCCGAAATAAACATTTTAATTTGTAATACCCTACTGTTCTATGTGTATATCAAGCTTCGCCACAGTTTATATAAACACTAAAAGGGGAAATAAAACGAGTATAAACGGAAAAGTTGGTCCTCTCAGCAGGTAAGATTTATTTTCGAGAAGCTCTTACTGGCAAACTTGGCAAATAATATTTGCTGAAAGCTTCTGCAACTAAAATCTGTATGCCATTATTGCGTAAGACGAGCGAAGTGGCAATTAATATGCCGGCTCCGGTATTATTAAGAATTCGCTAAGGCTTCTCTTTTAAATTTGAAATTGAGTCAGTTCAGCTGTAGTCGCCCGACGGTTTTTGCTCTAATTAGGAAACTTTGATTGCCCGGGCAACGTGGTCGAGTAGAGCAGCTGACCGTTTGGCATGCAAAATTAAATTTACGCCAGAGTGCGCCACGTTTTTGCGCCAGCTAAGAGGTGGATCGTATATTATTAACTCGCTGAGTGCTTAAATGTTGGGTGTGCTTGGCTGTAAGCGAGAGCCCCCCAGAAGGAGCTTTGTTCAATCAATTGGGCATGTGTAATGCAAAAACTTTAACCAGGACCCTTAGCCTTGGGGGCTTTGCAATTTGTTGTGCGAAAATCGAAGAAGAGATCGAACACAAAATGCGCAGTGTCGTTAGCTGCAAGAAAGCGCGTTGCCACATTGCCCACCTCCGACTGTCGGCTATAAAACACAGCGAAGCGAGCTCACAGCTTTATTGCCTCGTAAATTTTTATAGTTCATACTTTAGGCATGCGTATGCAATGCCGCAGATGTATGTTATCTGTGAGGGTACTGCTCTTGCGTGTGTGGTTCGTGTGCGTCCGTGTATGTGTTCGGATTGTCCCTTGTACGCCGCCATGTTATTTATGTGGTCAAAGTCCGCAGTGCCGTCAAGGAATCGCGGCATTGATTTTAAATTTGCCTTCTTTGCCAGATACTGAACTTATTCAATCCGTCATCGGTCATAGGTCAATTATGCAGAAACCGTAATAATTATCAGTTGGTTTCGTCACGGTGCCACTATAACGCCCTTAATAACACCCACAAGCGTCCCTAGCAGCCGTAAAAAGTGTCTGTAGCCCACACTATTTGTAAAGTGCAAAGGCGATTTTTTATTAATACCAATCGAAGTGAATCGGGCCATCCATTAAAAAGTTATGAGAAAATAATAAAACTGTCGCTAGATGGCGCGCAGTCGCTTTGATGGTAGCTGAGCAACGGGTATCTGATGGTCCAAGTACTGGACTATCGCATTAAAGCTTATACAAAATCTGTAAAGATGTAGACGCCAGGCTTTTTTAAAAGTCCTTCAAAGCGACTGTGGGCGTGCGAGTGGGCGTGGCGCTTGGATGAAAAAAACCAGCGCTGCGTAGGAATATGTGTGATTATTCCCAACCTTTTAGCATTTGTAGTTTCCGAGATCTCAACGTTCATACGGAAAGACAGGCAGACGGACCGACGGTCACGTCACTACCGTGATATGTTTGTTGCAATATATTTCCGAATATGACCCTGCATTCAAATATGAATTTACGATTTCAATAGTCACAGACCCTATAAGATCAAATAGTACGATGTTTTGTGTTTGCGCCTTTTTCTATTATTGAGGCGTATAAAAATCAAGGGCAGACAAAGGCGAGTCCACTTTACTCAAGTCGTCTCAAGACGGCTTTATGACGGGTCAGGACTGTTTTGGGGGTATAAGGAGAAAGCATAAATTGTTTGTACACATACACATTTTTTATCTCTGCATTTGTATGCATGACAGGCATAGACACCACACAAACACAAGGCAAGTGGAAATATATTGGGCATGTTAAGAGGAATTTAAATGTTCAGGCCGAGACACAAAGCCAACGAACTGCTTGGCAGGAAATTTTCGGGACTAAGGTCAAGTGGGTGGGGACGCGGGGTGAGGGCCGAACGCGATAATAGTGAAAAAACACGCACTGCTAATAAAATGGCTCCAACGCATCCTGTTCGACTCTCGGCGAGGCGGTACGTGCGCATGTCAGCTGCCTGCGGCTTAGGCGTGTGAATTATATTATGCCTGAAAGTAGGCAACTGTAATAAAACTTTCGCAAGAAGCGATAGAAAAAGGTCCCCGGCAATGGTCCTCCACGCCCACTGCGTCCCTCGTCCCCCGTCCTCGTCCCCGTCCCCGTCCTCGCGTTCGCTTTCGCTGAGGCTTTCAGTTCGAAATCCATTTCTGGGCTAACCGGATGCCGCAACAAAAGTAGCAAAAACTGGCAATACATAAGTTTCGTTTCGTTCGTCGCATTTTTCATTCCATTTCCCCAAACCTCCCCACACCAAACTGCTTAAAAGCGATAAATAATGAAGTCAGCAAGTGCGGCTGGCATTCTCGCATGTTTATTATTAATAATAAATATTTCTTGTCAATCTCTCGCCCCACGCCCTCCGACCGCTTAAGTTGTATGGCCCACAGTCACGACACATTGGTTATTGTCCTTGTTGTCGGCGATGTTTTTGTTGGAGCTGTAGCCGTGCGCACTTGCCATGTTTCAAATTATTATTTATCTGTTTCAGTCTCAGTCGCTGTCAGCAGTCAGCGCCCTGTCTTTGTCTGCGCCTCCCCGTGCTGCGCGTCGTATACGTAATATTTTAATACCCCACCAATATGTTTGCACTGGGCGTGCTAGTGTGCGAGTGTTAATCCCTAAATCTGCTTAAGTCGACGCTCTTTGCCCGCCAAGTGCTGGAGTGCTTAGCTGTTTTTAAGCTGCCTGGTTCCCCGTGGTCTGACTGCCGTAGCCCGTAGCCCGTAACCCGTAACCCATAACCCGGTCCCAGCCAGCGGGTGAAAGATCTCGCCCCGGCTTTACCTTCCTGCCACTCACACGGCCCCCGAGCTTAATTTTAAAACCGCTAAGCAAATTTGCGAAAAAGCTGACTGCGACGCCGTATCGACCCAGCTTCAAACTCATTTGCGCTTCAGCCTGGGAGCGAGTTTCGGGGAGGGAAAGGTGAAAGGTGGAAGGCTGCCGTTTGTGCCTGATAATGCGCGTGTGGAAGAGCGACCTTGAGCCCAGAGTGGCGCCGTCACACGGACAGACCGACATGTTGCTAAGCTGACTTTGCCCCGAAAGCTTGTCATTCACTTCCAAAATAATGTTTCGGCCAAGTTCTCTGCTGCCAAAGAAGCCGGAAAAATGTGTCTGTGCAAGCCTTTTTCGGTCTGAATAGGATCGTGTTATCAACAGATGATACTTTGGGTCTTCCTCCGCAGAGCCTGACTCACTCGCAAACATCCGAATTGCAAAAATCAGGGCATGAAATTAAGCCGGGAGTAAAGAGCTTCGTCACTCCAACTTCTGAGTTTCACCTCCACCGAGGTTTCCACTTCCACTCTTCCGCAAATACCACGCATATTTTCACACGCCGCGCAGTAACACACCACACTCTCTGGCCCGGTGCGATGTGCACTTTAAAAGTCAATTTAAAAAGTTTTCCCCGACAACGATTTTCAAGCCACAAGTCGTCGCCATAAATTTTCAATTTTTGCACTGTCACACGAGTTGTTTTTTATTTTGGCGTGCCAAGTGTCCCGCCCGCTTTTCTCGGGAGGCTGCGTAATGAGCGGACCGCGCGACTTGATAAGGTGTCGTCGTAGATAGCTTACCGAATAATTTATGCGTAACGCGTTTGGCCTGCGGGAGCGGTGAAAAAGCAAGTCTAAACACAAAGGAAGGCTCGGGCCACGAGAGCAGCAAGAGGACGGCGGCCACTTTGACTTTGCGTGGCGCTCCAGGTCAAAACCAAAGCCGCAAGGGCGGCAACTACGCCGGCCCATCAACAAGGTGGGTCGCCCTTGGCGCTAATCTCTCCCCTGTGTATTTTTCATTATCCTTATTATTTGTGAATGTTACGTGTTGGCCATAACTTAGGCGCTCTAACGATGCGTATACGTGACGTAGGCCACCGCCGGGGAGGGGGGCGAAGTTCTTTGGGTGTGGCTCGCAGCCGGGGAACACCTCTTATTTGAAGTAAATTAGCGGAAGGTCAAAACTCTATGCGCAGCGGATGAAACATTAACGATTGTTTGCACAGCAATTGCCGAAAGCTTTAAATTACTTGGATCCATTGTGATAATTGCTTGAAGCCTCCCCATTCATACTTCCCTGATCCACTTCCGTGCAAGCTCTACTTACTTCGCGCAGCTCGGTTGCATTCCATTTGCGAAATGAATTGCAAACATTCAAATATCCCACCTATAATATTAAGCCACCGCGCCTCTGCAATTGCTGAAAATATTCCGAGCCAAAGTTTAGAACCGCAGGTGCATGCTTAGAGCACCTCCCGCGGAATTAAACGCGGCGGAGACGATAATAAAATTCCTAGCACAATAAATCCGTAAATTGGCAAAGTTTGGCGAAGGCTTTCGGGCCGCGTTAAGGGGCTTTAATTGTGGGCCCAAGGACTGAAACCGAGCACTCGGCCTGCAATGATTTGTTAGCTTCGTGTAAATATTAAAATAAACTGCCGCATACCTAGGCTGGCTATCGGGAGTGTCAGTGGGCCGGACTGGCTGAGCGGTTCGCATAAATTTCGTTTTAATTTACTTAGCACTTTGCTAAGTCCCTGCGAAGCTCTCGCTCTCGAAGAAACAGGCCTAATTAAATTTTAGGGCCAGAAGATAGAAAGCAAATGTGGGGAGGGGAGGGTGAGGGTCATACTGAACGCACCTGGCTCGAGCGTCGTGGCCAGGAGCAGCGTCGGCAGGCAGAGTAGGAGGATGCGGACTTCCATCAGGTGCAAGGGCCGCCGCAGACGCAGCAGCAGCCGTGGAAGGACCATTGGCATTCTTTCTCGCTTCGCCGGGCCCGTTACTTTCCTCTTGCAGCCTCTCCTGCGGCTAGGGCCTACTGTCCACAGCCTATGTCCTGGGCCGCCGGGGGGACTGCCTCATCGATGGGCGGGCGTGGCGTATTGTCTGGCTGGCTTTTGTGGCTGCTTATTAGGGTTAATGGGTTTTTGAATGAACGCGCAGAATCCTTTCAGCTGCGGCAACCACACAATGCCAGCATCTCCGGCGCACATATGCCTCGTCTGTTTGGTGTTGCTGCTGCTGCTGCTATTGCTGTGTAAGTGCGATGCGATGCGGCGCTGATAAATGATGGTGGTCCGATGTGCAGCTCTGCCTTTTTGCCTGTTTTTCTCCGCCTGTCAATGCGTCGTTGTCCTGCGAGCCACAATGCTCCTCCCTGCTCCTCGCGCGCGTCACAAATTTTCAGCTCGTCGCGCGCTTGTTTCTTTCACTTTTTCTTCTCTAGCGCCTGGGTGCGGGAAAAAGTTGCATGCTCTTCATCATTTTTCATGTCACTGCATGTTAGCACATTAAGCCACGTCGGGGTTCGTGTAGCACTGACTGTATCTATCTTGTATTGTGTGGCTGGCAAAAAATTAACACTCGCCTTTTTATGAAATTACATTCAATTTGCTGTAGTGGCTGTTCTGCTCCGCGCCGTCCTCTGCGAAGAACAATGTCAGAAGCGAGGTGCCGATGATGAATCGTTTTCAAAGTAATGTCCTCGGAGGGTCCCTTCTTCCTGCTTCCGGCGATGTGAGCTGAAAGACAGAGGGTAGAGTGGAGGAAGGCATGAATATGAGATGTCCGGGTAAATAACAAATGCTTAGAAATAAGTATGAGCACGGAAGTATAATTGCCTCGCCTAATTACAATTGCAATACCCATGATGAGATACATTCTCGACTTGCTTCCGATTGCTCGGCCCGACCTCACGAACTGTGGGGATTTCTATTCATTTGCATATAAAATGAAATTTATTTATTGTTCGAGCAAATTTGGCACATTATTTATAGGTCAGCGATAGCAGGGAGTCATTTGAGGGGGGCTGAGAAGAGGAAGGCAGGGGATGCAGAGGGCCAGTGGGGCCGAGATTATGCAAAATGGCCGTCCAGTCACCGCTGGAATGGGCCAACAATTGGGCGGACAGGACTGGACACCAGGCAGCAGGACTGAGTCCACGATTTTCCATAAATTTGTATTTATTTGCTCGCACGCGTGGCTGAGTTTATTTAAATTTTATACCCAGACGCATAAAAAGCGAAGGGCTCTGAAAACTTGAGCAAAGTTTTGTAGCTTGTCATAATTTTTATCTGCAGCGCGGACGGATCTTTGTTCTAAGTCTGTCTTTTTTATTATTGCTTTACATTTTACAAGTTTTTATATTTATGGTTCTGCCTATATAGCTGACCCAGAGGCAGCTCTTCAGTTCTGCGGTTTCGCGGACAGCGTTTATTCAACTCGCTGCGCAAATAGCGCTAATGAATCCGAATTTCGCCAAGCGCAGTGCACATAAATTAAAATTGAAATTCGGCCGCAGAATTGCCAAAGCGTTCAGTCATTTTAATTACAGAACTATGTGGCTTTCTGAGCTCGGCGATTCCGAAATTCTGATTTGCTTTGCAGCCCGCAAGTACGCCATGGTATTTAATTAACGCCGCTGCTCTCATTCTCATGGACAAACATTAGCAAATGTCATGCAGCCCGAATTTATGGCACACTCGTGTACAATTCATTTAAATTGATAATACCGTGTGGGCGGACTTGGGCGGCAGCTAGTTGTTATTTGCTGCCACTTTGCTTCTTTCGTTCGCATATCGCATCGCAGCAAATGCAGCAGTTTAGAGTAATTCGGAGAGTAAATGTCATGCCAGAGGAATGCTTGTTTATGTATCTGTGCGCTCAAAGTGCGAGTGTGTGTGAGTGTGAGTGCCGTTCTACACAACTATGCACTTAAATGCAGTCACGTACACACACAGCGACGTACGTATTATTATCTTGACACAATGGTGCCATAAAACTTAAAGACCCCCCAGCTGTTTTGCCTTTCCTTTGCCTTTGCTGTTGCTATTGCCTTTGCCTTTGCCATTGCGAGGGCAAGCGCTGAAGGACATGGCATTTGCCTTCGCCTCCTTCTGACCCACCCCTCCCCACCACTTTATTTTCTTTTTGTTTTCGTTTCTGCTTCTGGCTCTGCCTCTCCTCCGTCCTTTCCTTTCATTCCACTCGCACACTGCATATGCGCATTTGTGTGCACTACACACTCACACTCTCGAGAAGCCATCCTGCTTATGGTGCTTTCTTTCTTCTGGTTCTTTGGAGGTTATATGGAAATTGTAATAAGTTGCAAACCGAAAAAGCTGATGTCATGAGGTTAGTTGCTGTGGCTCGAGTTTCAAGCGACAATCATGTGCTTTCCCTTTGTGTTTTGTCATGTTTCGTTTCGTTTTGTTTTGTTTTGTTTTGCCATTCCTGGCTGCATGGCTGCTTGGCTGCTGACCTCATACTTCATTTTGTAGCTTTTGTTTAGCCCGTCATCTGACTAGGGCTCAAGCTCGGGAGCTCAGCTCGACCGTGTTGCATAATGCACTGCGATGGTGCGTTGAGCCCGGCCATATTGTTATTGCTGTCGGCTGTCCAGGCCGGCGGAAGTGCAGCGGAATGCCGACTTGCTCAGCTCGCACACACGCCAGCTCCAAGCTGAGAGCCCGAGGAGCATGCATAATTAAGTGTTTTAAAGGACTGTGTATTATTGTTGACAGTAATTGCGAATGGCAATAAATAATTCAAATGATTATTCGGGGATTTGGACAATAACTGACGGCATAGGAAACTAAAAGCTGGCACCACGGCGTATGATTGATATGAATCGCCAAGTGCCCCAGCTGCCTGCAAGGCTTTGGGGCTCAGTTAGATCAAATCGCAGTACATTATTACTTACAAGCAAACAATCGATTGGTAAAATTAACCAATATAATTGTATAACTGTTCGAAACCAACATACTGTAAATTTTACCCACACTCATAGAAATTTTCCGGTAAAATCGCCCTAAAAACAAGGAAAATCGCCCTAAAACGGGGGTCAATGGCGACTAGGCAACAAAATTAGGGCAAATTGCCCTAAAAATACGGGTGAATTTGTCACACATTTAGGGCGATTTTTCGTAGATCTAGGGCGATTTTTCTATTTTCAAAGCTAATTGCCCTAAAAATAGGAAATGAGACCCTTACACTAAAGGCAGTTTCCTTTAAATCCAGGGCGATTTTTCTGGACTTATAGGCGAATTGCCCTGGAAATCGGAAAAAATACCTTTAAACTAAAGGCAGATTTTCATAAATCTAGGGTGTTTTTCTGGATTTTAGGGCAAATTGCCCTAGAAATATGAAAAAATATTCTGAAACTAAAGGCAGATTTTTATAAATTTAGGGCGTTTTTCTGGATTTATAGGCGAATTGCCCTAAAAAAAGCAAAGTGCTCCCCAAAATTTCCCGGCTTTTTTTCATAAATAAAAATACGATTTCATTATATTTTTTTTGTTTTTTTTATATTTTTGTTTGTTGTCATTTACACAATTTCTACTTATATACATTTACATACTTTTCTACTTATTCTTATTGCTAAAAGAATTACATCGATCTTAAAAATAATGTTTTGGCTTAATGTATTTTTTGGTCCTTAGGTTTTGTGCTTCCGCAGGAGGGAATTTTAGGTCTTTTAAGGTTTATTACAATAAGTACTGATTATCAAATTTTACTTCTAATTGAATGCATAGAAATAATACTTTTTTTTGAATGAACAGATTGTTTCTTTAAAATAGTTACAGTTTTAAGGTTTTATAATCCTTTAAGAGTTCGGATAAAGCTTTACCTTTCTTATCAGACTCTAAATGAATTTCATAAAACATTTTTGGATAAATGTCGTGGTTTAAAACAAAAAATATTTTGAAGCACACATCAATACTTTTCAATAAGGTTGGCATTCTATAAATAAACCTCTGATAGGTAAACTGGAAATTCACCAAGGTCAAAAAGGGCTTGTTCCCACGTTGCAGCTGAATGGTTGCAGTTTCGGCTTTCCGGATTAGCAATTTTCCGTCAATGCCTTTAGATGTGTTTGCAGTTCCCCAACAGTAGCCTTCCAAACCAAGAAACGGCTTCGCGGGTCCGCAATGGTGTGCTTCACGTTCTTGCTCCCGCCGTCCTTTTTTGTCATTGCTGTCGCACCAACACTGAATGGATCGCAAGCCAAATTAAAGTTGATTGTATCTCTATTAAATAAAAACAGTCTATTTATTGAATGAGAAAAGAAAAAGAGAAAAAGCACATACCTTCAGCGTGGCTTTCCAAAGATTTGAGCAGTTTTATTCCCTTACTTTCGCTTTTAAAAAGTGCGAAAAGTGGTTTGCGGAAGCTGGATCTCAAAGACGTTCTCAATCTAAAACAAGAAATAAAATTGTTAGAAATTAATATAAAAATGCACTACTAACAGTCAGAATTTTCATTTAGCCTGCGATTGCGTTTGCTGCTACTTCTGGAAAAAAGAAGCAACAAAAGCAAATTTCGGTTACTGACGAAATGACGCAATAGAAATTTGGGGGTTATTTTGGCATATGCACTTGTGAATGCGGTTTGTCCGGTGCATAAATACAGATTTCTGGTAAATATATACATCTGTAAAAAATGTGTGTATTCTGTTGCATCATCTTTTTACCTTAAGCATTATTTACATATACACATACATACAGTGGCGGACAAAAGTCTACGGACGACCCCCTTTTTGGGAGTTCTTCCACTCCTATTGCTTTTACGGGAAAAGTAATGATGCAGTTTTGTTCTTAATGTTATTAATATACAAAAACCAAAATTTTATTCTTATTCATAAAAAACTTTAAAAGTTACAGACGAAAATCTAAAAAATGGCATTGACAAAAGTCTACGGACGATTTTTTACATAGAACTTTCAAAATTTTCGCTCCAAAATTACCCAAACCTGCTCTATAATTTGCATGCCCAGGCCTTATGGTGGTGAAAACAATTGCCGAAAAGCATAAAACAGCAGCTATTTCTTAAGGATATGCGCCGTATGCTTAGGATCATTATCCTGTTGGTAGATCGAGATGGTTCCGAGGCATTATTTGTCCATAGATGCCTTCAAATTATGTTCAAATATGGTCTTATACTCAGAACGAACCATAATACCCTCGACGATGACCAAATTTCCTCATCCCGAGGCTTCAACTGATCCCCACACCAAGGCTTCCCTACCATACTCCCACCACAGTACTAATTTGGACCGTAAAGCACTTCGGTGGGAGTGACATGGCGTGGGGAACAGTTGAAGCCTCGGGATGAGGAAACTTGGTCATCGTCGAGGGTATTATGGTTCGTTCTGAGTATAAGACCATATTTGAACATAATTTGAAGGCATCTATGGACAAATAATGCCTCGGAACCATCTCGATCTACCAACAGGATAATGATCCTAAGCATACGGCGCATATCCTTAAGAAATAGCTGCTGTTTTATGCTTTTCGGCAATTGTTTTCACCACCATAAGGCCTGGGCATGCAAATTATAGAGCAGGTTTGGGTAATTTTGGAGCGAAAATTTTGAAAGTTCTATGTAAAAAATCGTCCGTAGACTTTTGTCAATGCCATTTTTAAGATTTTCGTCTGTAACTTTTAAAGTTTTTTATGAATAAGAATAAAATTTTGGTTTTTGTATATTAATAACATTAAGAACAAAACTGCATCATTACTTT